GCTTGTGAAGCTGGTAGCACAGTCGGAGAGTGAGAAGGTTGGGGAGGAACATGGGCCAGTCCTGGAGTCTGGGGAAGGCCCGGACGAGGGCCCTGTGTCGGAGGCAGAGAGGGAGCCAGGGCCATCTGGGAGTTATGTGCCGCCTCCGGAGCCTCCGGAGTCGGACAGCAGTGAGGCAGAGGAACAGGGGGAGCCTGTTCCCAGTGAGGGTATGTGCAGAGCTGCCAGAAGGCAAGAGTAGTTAGGACAGAAGGGACGACTTGGGAGTAAGGCTTGGAGGTGATTGGCCCCTCCCATAGGACATAAAAGAGGAGCAAAGGCACGTGAGCCTTTGCGGGAAGCAACTTGGTTCATGCTGGTCAGTTTACCTTCTGAAGCTCTGTTTTGACTCTGTGCTCCGTGTAGCCTTGCAAAGCTAATTGCCAATTAGGTCTTTGGCAGCGTTTCAAGGAAGATGAAGGTGGGTGCTTAGCAGCCTTATCTCGAAAGACTTTGGCAGACTTCTGTAGGACTCTTTACAAACTTTTTTTTGACTCATTAAGGGCTGTGAATGAATATAATTCACAGCCTTTGAAATAAAAAGAGGGGTTTTGGACCTCATCGTGTGCTGTTTACTGTATCAAGAAGCCCAGGTGAGAACAGTTTTGCCACTGCTGTGAAGTAAATTGCTGCCGTTGGGAAGCGACTCCCACGGTCGTTAAGTGAATCTGCCTTCCTCACTGATTTTGCTTGGCAAAAGGTCGCCAAAAGGGATCCTATGAACCCGGGGACGCGGCGTCCGTCATAAATACAAGTCAGTTGCCAAGTGACTGAACTCTGATCACGTGACTACAGGGAATACGGCGACGGTCATAAGGGTGAAAAACCGGTCCTAAGCTCCTTTCCCCAGTGCCGTTGTAACTTCAAACGGCCACTAAACGCACGGTCGTAAATCAAGGACGATTTATAATGCCAAACTTAATCAATCCTTAAAATAGGACTGATTTTTTTTCGGGGTCGACTCGCGACAAACAAGACCCCGAATTTCCCCGAAGCAAGACATTTGCGAAGGGAGTTTTGCCCGTTTTACGACCTTGCCACAGCACTTCTATTGGGAAGCGAGTAACATGGTCGTTAAGTGAATCTGGATTCCCCACTAAGGTTGCAAAAGGGGATCATATGGCCCGGGGACACAGTGGCTCAGTGGCTAAGACGCCGAGCTTGTCGATCAGAAAGGTTGGCAGTTCAGCGGTTCGAATCCCTAGCGCCGTGTAACGGAAGGAGCTCCCGTCACTTGTCCCGGCTTCTCCCGACCAAGCTGTTCGAAAGCAGGTAAAAATGCGAGTAGAAAAATAGGAACCACCTTTGGCGGGAAGGGAACANAGAAGAAGAAGAAGAAGAAGAAACAACTTCTGAGCAAGGAGAAAAAGACACTTCTTAGCAAGGAGGAGGAGGAGAAGAAGAAGAAGAAATAATAATAATAATGGAGGAGGAGGAGGAGAAGAAGAAGAAGAATTAGAAGAAGAAATAATAATAATAATAACAACAACAACAAAGGAGCATGCAGCCCTCACCCCCAGTCACCAACTCTCATCCTCGATTTAAGATATGGCTTTATTTGTTCGTTCTCAAGTGAGACATTTGTGCATCTCAAAAACCGCCGCGGCCAAGGAAGGTTTCCAACTGTTCCCCTGTGCGGAGAACCCTCCGTCTTTCCAAATGTCGGAGAGATTTTATAGGGGGTGCATCTCTGTACATGCAGGCTTGGTTAAAGAGCAGAGGCACTGGTGGGGGTGGGAGAGAGTTGGCAATCCTCAACCACCACCACCCCAACTCCCCGTACCACCCCAGATTGAGAAAGTCGGGAAAGGTGTCGGCGAGATCTTACCGCATGCGCCTTCCGAAAACTGGGAGCCCAAACTGGGTTTGGGGGTAACAAGAGGACGTGTCCAACGGCAGGAAAAAAAATTCTTTGGGGAAATCAAAATGTTTGGAATATGTGAATTTTGCAATAGTGAAGAGATTAGAGCTACCGCTGACTCTTTCTCATCCGAGGAAGCTTCTGGGCCCCAGAATTGTCGTAAATTTCTTACTACGGGTAGTCCCCAACTTACAACAGCTCATTTAGCGACCGAAGTTACAACGGTACTGAAAAAAGTGACTTGGGACCGATTTCACACTTACAAACCGTCACAGCATGTCCGTGGTTGCATGATCAAAATTCAGACTCTTGATGACTGACTTGGGCTTACGACGGACGCAGTGCCTCGGGGGTCACACAACCCCTTTTGCGACCTTCTAACAAGTCAATGGGGAAGCCGAATTCACTTAACAGCCATGTTCCTAAATTAAGAACTGTTGTAAGAAAGGTCGTAAAATGGGCAAAACCCGCTCAGCAACTGTCTTGCTTAGCAAAAGAAATTTGGGGGCCCCATTGTGGTCATAAGTTGAGGACTACCTGTACCACTAACTCCAAGGGAGTGGTCGAGGCCCTGGAATTGTCATAATTTCTTACTCTAAGGGCTCTGTGAAGCCTCCAAGGGGAGGAGCAGTCTATTGTAGGAAAACGAGTATCCTCAAACCGTGACCCGAACTATTTTGGGATGCCGAGTGGGAATCACAGCCTGCTTTTGTGACGTCTCCTCTAGCCCCCTCCCCAGAATTCAAATGGGTCCCCTCCCAGTTCATGATGGCCTCTCCGAGGGAAGCACCCCAAAAAGGCACAGAGCTAAAGTGAGGTATCCACAAAAAGGGGACAAATGCGAGAGACAAATGCACAAGGAAACGAGCAGCGTGACACCGCGGACGTATCGTGGATAACAGGAACAACTTCTCAGAGGCAGTGAATCTGGGATAAAACGAAAGGATTATGGGTTCAATGGTGCATCCAAGCTTTTGGATCCGTCTTTCCCGTTGAGACGTAAGAAACTCGTTCAAAGGGATCGCTCGTTTAAGATCGGCTCGCCGGATTATCTCCGTACGAGGATAACCAGAACTCCAGAAGGAGAGTCGGTAGAGCCCTTAAAAAGCGAGTGTCGATTGTCGTGTTAGGTAGCGTGGGTCAGTGTGTCTGTCCTTTCAGGGGGCCATCAGCCAAGCAAGCCCTCCTTCCTTGACCCCACTCAAGTTTTGTGGTTCCCCGCTGAAGAATTTTTGGAGAATCGCCGTGCAGGAGCACGACACTCCCCGCTTTGGTTTCGCATGTATCCTGAGCGAGGCGGAATAATTCCCAAACAACAGTGTCGGTCGACCTGTTGGGCCATTCCTGGACATTGTACGGCAAGGACATTCGCCAGATGTCCCATATCATGGCGGGTTTTTCACTCCAACTCCTCTTCCGCAGAGGGCAAGCATCGGAGCCGGTTTTTAGAGATTGCTTTCTCGCAGAAGTCCACTCAGGCTGCAGGGACGTCTTTGGTCCAGCCGGCGACCGGACAGCAGACGCCGTAAGGGGGAGGTTGAGTTCAGATCTCCGCAGCTCTGCAGATGGATGCCGTTGGACGGACTCCCCAGCCTCAACACCTGAAAAACCCAAGGAATCGCTTGAGAACGGCTCAGAATGATAGGTCATAAGTAGAGAGAAAAAGAGGGGGATTTTGATGAGGAAAAATAACCAAGAGTACCCAGGATAGGAAGCACAATTTGGTAGCATAGGTAATGCTCAACCTACAATCACAATCACAATTCTCTCTCTCTCTCTCTCTCCCTCCCTCCCTCCATTTTCTATCTCTCTCTATTTATTATCTCTCTTCTATCTATATCTATCTACATACCTACCTGCCTACCTACCTATATCTATTTTCTCTCTCTCTCTTCTATTTATTCTTATCTTTCTTATTTATATCTATTTTATATCTATATCTATCTATCATCTATCATCTTGATCTATCTATCATCTATCTATCATCTATCATCTATCTATCATCTATCTATATCTATCATCTATATTTATCATCTATCATATCTATCTATCATCTATCTTTCATCTATATCTATCATCTATCATATCCATCTATCATCTATCATCTATATCTATCATCTATCATATCGATCTATCATCTATCATCTATCTATCATCTATATCTATCATCTATCATATCCATCTATCATCTATCATCTATCTATCATCTATATCTATCATCTATCATATCGATCTATCATCTATCATCTATCTATCATCTATATCTATCATCTATCATATCGATCTATCATCTATCATCTATCTATCATCTATCATCTATCATCTATCATATCGATCTATCATCTATCATCTATCTATCATCTATCTATCTATCTATCTATCCTATATCTATCATCTATCATATCCATCTATCATCTATCATCTATCTATCATCTATATCTATCATCTATCATATCGATCTATCATCTATCATCTATCTATCATCTATATCTATCATCTATCATATCGATCTATCATCTATCATCTATCTATCATCTATATCTATCATCTATCATATCGATCTATCATCTATCATCTATCTATCATCTATATCTATCATCT